AGGAGTTTGAGGTTGCTGTGAGCTAGGATGACTCCACGGCACTCACTCTAGCGAGGGCAACAGAGTGAGACTCTGTCTCAAAAAAAAATAAATAAATAAAACCTAGCTTGCATTAAAGAGGGCACTTCTTGTCCGTGAATGCTTTCCTGATTTTCCTAATCAAAAGTGACTCACTCCTTCTTGAACTCCCTAGGTTTTTTGTTTGTTTGTTTATTGTTTTTTTAAAGTATCTTTTCCTTGTGTGCTTACCTGCCATCTGGTTCTGTGGTTATCTGGCTTCTTCACGTGAAGCTGTATCATACTTACTCCTCACTGGCATCAAACACACTAACTGTTAAATGTAATAGGATCTTAATGGTGTTTTACATTCATTCCCAGGTCTTCCTAATGATTTTTTCTTTGTGTAGGTATTACCTTCTTTTCTTTAGGTCAGATAAGCTCATTGAACAATGTAGTAGCTCAGCCAGAATACAGAATAATATTTTCAAATTGATGTCTATTTCTAATTTAAATTTGTCAGAAATAGACTCTTACTATTACACAGTAAGAAATGTACTCTGTTTTTCAAAGATAGAATTTTCAAAAGTCCCAAATATAAGCCACAGTTATTACAAGGAAATTTAACTTTATAAAATAAAATCCTATCCATAAATTAATGAGAAGATAAGAGAGTAAGAATGGGTCCTTTTTTAGGGCTCCATTCTGATATCTGTGTGAATGCGTTTGACATTTAGAATATACTTATCTAGGTATTCTTTGAGTTCTTTTTTAAAGACAAAAATGTTTCTGTTGCGAATACTTTTTGAATCCTTTTCTCTTGGTTACATGTTTATTTATATTCACCTTCTGAATATATTGCATTATATACGTCTTGTGCTCCCTGGTTAGGATTAATTGTTTGAATGTCTGAGAGAGATTGGATATTCTTTTCTGCTATGGAACTGGGTATTTCAATACATATCTGATGTCATGAGCCTGATTCTTCCCTGCTAATGATGTAGAGTTCACTAAATTGAGTTTTATGGACAGAGGAATATTGCAGTGTCATTTTAATTTCATTTCTTTGTAATGCTACATGATGTATCTTTTAAATTCTGACCATAAACACTGCTTATTCCACTGTTTGTTTTTTTCTCAAGGTTATACATAAACATTTCTACTTGAAAAGAGTTGAGATCATGGCCCAATGTGAGGAGTGGATTGCAGACATCCAGCAGTACAGCAGTGATAAACGGGTCGGCAGGACTATGTCTCACCATGCAGCAGCTCTCAAGGTGAGTAAGCCTTGCTAACGTTAGTCCTGTTGATAGCTTTAAAAGAAGAGTTGGGTATTCACTGACAGAACCAGTTCACCAGAAGGTAAAGGGAGAGAGGGAATCAAAGAAATGTAAAATTTATTTTTAAGTTCCAAGGACTAAATTGTTACCCAAAAGTCTATAGATATGATACATTCTTTTGACACTGGATCGACAGTTCCTAAAATTGAAAGTGGGTACAGGGACCGAACCAACTTCTAGAGTTCTTTGAAGATGATGACAGCAAAGGAAAGTGTGCTCCATGGATGACTTCTTTTATTCCTTTAGGCCTGCAGTCCCCAGCCACCAGGCCAGGCTGCATCACTGCCTGAGCTCCGCCTCTTTTTCACCCCCCCTACCCCCACACCCACCTCACGGAAAAATTGTGTTCCATGAAACCAGTCCCTGGTGCCAAAAGGTTGAGCACCGCTGCTTTAGGCCTTCTCTCGGCCTCTTACCTTCTAGGATTTTATTATTATACTTGGTGTAATGAGGGAGATGTGAGTTGCAGAGCCTCCAACAGCTGATTGGTAGCAGTGGCTGTGATACAGACCTCCTTTAGGGGAGTCGAGCAATGGTTTTTATCTTGGACTCTTTCAGAATGAAAGTGTAAAACGTGTTGGTTTTGGAGGGGTTTTGGGTCCATATGTGAGAATTATTCCTTGTAATAACCACCTTTTTTTCTGCCTCTGAATATGTCTTACCCCGTTGCCTTTCATCCTCTGCCAATTACCCTCCTCTCCCTGTAAAGTTCTCCCATCTCCCCTGGCCCTTTTCTTTCTAACTTTAAAACTGTCTTCACTTAATACAACTAAGTGATGATAATAAGGATTCATTAGATTTTAGATGTGATTTTTAAAAAGGTTCCTATCTTCTTCAGTTACATAAAAAATATTTATGAATGAAAAACCATGTGATGTCTGGGATTTGTTTCAAAATAAAATGAGAAGGGGAGAGTGATGGGACTGTAAATGAAGTAAGACTGGGCATGAGTTGATAATGGTTGAACCTGGGTGATAGATACATGGGAGTTTATTTTTATTGTTCTGCCCACTTCGGATATGTATGAAAGTTTCCATTGTAAAACTTTAAAAAAGAGAGAGAGAAACACTTGCATTCCGCTAAGCTAGTTCTAGTCTGTCCCAATTATTATAAAAGTATCTCTTTTACTGTTAGACCAGAGCAATTAATGCTTCTTGCCTCCGTTTTCAAACTACTCTTTCACTAATTAACCTTGTGCAGTGTAACTTCTATTCTGCCTTTTACGCTCTCTTCAGTTCTCAAAGCTAGTGACCCTGGCCCACTTCTCTATTCATACATCTGCTGTCTCCCCTCCAGGCCTTTACACATGGTTTCCTTTTCCCCCTACCTCTCACCTGCTCTATTTACTCACCTCTATTCAGTTTTCAGCTTAAATTTCACTTCATGCGGCCCCACCTTGACTGTTAAGACTATTAGATCATTTCAGTATAAGCTTTTGTATTAATAACTCCCCTTGCCTAACTATTAAAAGACTCATAACAGGTGGGGCACAGTGGCTCATGCTTGTAATCCTAGCATTTTGGGAGGCCAAGGTAGGAGGATTGCTTGAGCCCAGGAGTTCGAGACCAGCCTGAGCAACATAGCAAGACCCCCATTGGTACAAAATAATTTAAAAATTAGCCAGATGTGGTGTCGTGTGCCTGTAGTTCCAGCTGCTGGGGAGGCTGAGACGGGAGGATTGCTTGAGCCTAGGAGTTTGAGGTTGCTGTGAGCTGTGATTATTCCACTGTTCCCAGGCAACAGAGTGAGACCCTGTCTCAAGAAAAAAACCATTCATAACATGGTCTAATCAGTGTTTGTCTATTCTTCTATACTTTTCATCTGTAGAATATCTTTCTGTTTCTTATACTCTTTTGTTCTTTTGGCATGTTTTTTTCCTGAATGACTGTTTATCCTATGGCTGACTTTGTGGCCCTCAGAGCTATTTTATTCTCTTTCTCTTTTTCTCTCATGGTATCTATACCTCTGACTTTGGCCATTTACTCTTTAAAAGTCACTCTTCAAACTATTGTCTGCTCTTAGCTGTCTCCTGAGTTGAATCACTGACATTTTTTACTTAGATCCTTTGTCATCACCTCTTTAAAGGTCTAAAATTAGAACTATTGTCCTCAAATCAGGTTTTCTAGCTTCCCATATTTAGTTAATCTTAAACCATTTTTTCTGTCTTAAAATCTTCAGATCTCATTAAACTCTTCCATAATCCAGTACACCTGGTCAGCTCTGGGTCCTGTCAGTGCTGCCTTCATAAGGGGGCTGCTCCCACCCCCCCCATTATTTCTGTTCAGTTCCCACAGCTTATCCTGTTTGACCAGCTTCCTCATACCAGTTTCTCCCCCTTGCAGTTCTTTCTGTAGTGCAAAAGCAGATTGATCCTCCCCAAATATGTGTTAGATATGTCTTTCCCTTAGACAAGACCTCAGCAGCTTTTTTCCAGCTATGTTATTTCAGTGTCTTGCTTTATATCCCAGATTCTTCTACTAAATTTTTTCTATGTCAACCTGACCTGAAAATCTCAACCTCTGGATGAATCCAAATTTATATCATTTCAACTATACCTTTGCTGCTGAGTGCTACTCTAGAAAAGCATGCAGTTGTTCAGCTTGATTCCACAGTAGTATCCACCACCTCACTGGGCCCTCAAAATTGCCAGATTTTGCTTTTTTCTTCACTGGGTAGTGTTTTCACCTGTTGTCCACGCTGGAAGGAAAATCAGGGCTAGAGGAATTTTGAGTTACCAGCATGTAATTATACTCTGAAACCTTACAGGTGGCTGTAAGTGTGTAGCTGTTTTATCCTGTTTATATGTCTTATTCCTCCAGCCAGAATTTAGGCTTCATGAGCTCAGAGATTTATCTTCCTTACTCTCCTCATTGCCTTTATATTGTCAGTATTTTACACAGTGCCTCGTAAGTAAAAGTTGTTCTGCAAATGTTGGTTAGTTAATTTTCAAAGTCAATTATCAATACAACTAAAGTCCCTGAAATGATATTTAAGGTCATTTCTCTCCCACCAGAAATTATAAACCAAAACTTTACATTTATAGACAACCAGCCACTCTCTATTAACATTCCTACATCCTTCTGTTGGTTGTAGTATGGAGTAAAAATTCTTTAATCTCTCTAGATCTTTTTTATTTGTTTAAAAAATTTTTTTAATTCTAATGGTAAAATTATTTTTAAGGTTTATTCTGAACATTAAGTGAGAAAATTAGTGTGAAACACTTTGCAAACATTGTACATAAGGCCTGATAAATACTTGTTTTCATTCACTAAAATAGCTGTGGATTTATTTTGACTTAGGGACTTTTCTTTTTCTGAAAAAAATTTAGTCAGAGGCAGTATGTATGACAAGACAAAGGTTATGGTCTTTCATTTGAAAGAGGATATGTATCAAATTAATGATGTCTTTAAGTGATCTGTAATACTGTTTCTGGGACAGATTGGGGACATGGGTAGGGTCTGTGGGTACGTTACTCAGGGCTTTTCAGCAACATCAATTGCTTTGAAGTTAGAGGTTCTTGCCAGTTTTGCTTACTGCCTCCTATATTAACTGTCTAACAGTGGCTTGCACAAGGAGGTGCTCAGTAAATATTTTTAGGCTTAATGCTTTAGGTGTCGTTAAAGCCCAGTACCTCCCTTAAATGATGTTGTGCTGGAATCCCATGGTTTACAGTTCATTATATCAGTTATTTTCTCTTGCATAGCGTCACACTGCTCAGCTCCGTGAAGAGCTGCTGAAACTTCCTTGCCCCGAAGGCTTGGACCCTGACACTGAGGATGCCTCAGAGGTGTGCAGGGCCACAGCAGGTGCTGAGGAGACTCTAATGCACGATCAGATCAAACCCAGCAGCAGCAAAGAACTCCCCAGTGACTTCCAATTATGAGCTGCGTTGACGTGGACTTCATAGACACAAAGGCTTCGAAGCACAAGCCAAATATGTCAATATTTGTATGTAAGAAACTAATTATGTAATAGGTAATGAAACTGAAACTATACTATGCCCTTAAGGAGATCCAGTTTAATTCAAGGTGATCTTTTATTTACCTGTACAAGAGTGTAAACTTTTTTGTGCTTTTATTTTTCAATTGTGAGAACCACTGATTGGTATGTTCAACAAATTTGTGTATACAAAGAAATGGATAAATCACTGATATATAAGGGAAACTACCTTAGGAAAGAATGTTTACTGAATGTTTATTTTTATTTTATTTTTTTTTTTTACTGTAGAGTGAGGGGTTGTTAACAAAGAATATATATTGGTCATTCTTACAACTACTATTTAAAGTCAGCAACTTTTCACTGAATTTGATAGATTTTATGTTTGGCCATATCTTCATGCTCATATTTGATTTCTGAAGACCTCCTACATACACTTCAATAAAAGTTAAATGGACATACTCCCTCTTTTTTGATTTACTGGTACATTTTTAAAATAATAAATCTACCATAAAATGCATTATAGCTGGAGACTTGCACTTGTATGGATGAATTTATTACATTCAACATATTTGATTTTATGCCTTCTAATTCTAAGATGCAGAAAAAAATAAATGAACATGATTTTATTCTATGCCAACATTTGGGCCTCTGAATGTATCTGTTATTTGAATTTAAGTATATGAAAAGGAATGGTCAATTTGAAAAGTCACTCTAAACTGATTTTTTTTTTTCCTAAAGGGCTCCTTTTTTCTGGATTATCTGGTTTTATTACTGAAGTCACATGTATGTATTAAACACTGAGGCTCTGTAGAGGAGAGAGGATGTGCCTCTCTGGTGCTGTTACAGTACATTCTGTACTTGCCATGCAGTCTCATTTTCATGCAAATTCTTCCTAGAGCCAAATAAATAAAGACTTAGGTGAATTAGTATGTCTTGTTTCTAAAACACTTTGCCATGGCGTGAACTGGACACTTTCAAGACCTAAGCATGGGAGAACAAAGGATATTTTTCCGAGACTAATTACCAAAAAGGAAAGGCTAAGGTGATCCTTGACAGTATTTATATAAAATAAAGTGGTGTGTGGGAACCCTGAAATCTGGAGCTGACCAGGGAGAAACTGTACTCTAAACAGCGAGTTGTTCTCTGAAGAGAAAGGGGATTCAGGGGCAACTCTCTCATGTACAAGGTACAGAGCTCCTTCAAGCGTGGATAAAGGAAGAACAAACAGTATGTGAATAGGAAATCAAAGGTTCTAAAACACACAGTGTTAGGTCTGGGTGAGTAGTGAGCTGCAACGAGAATGACAAAATAGTGATAGAGTCAATTTATGAGAAGGAAAAAGCTCCTCAATTATATGGCACCCACAGGCATGCTAGCTCAACTCTAAGCATGAAAGTATCAGCAGTAAGAAGTAAAAGGACAGTCACCAATCTTCCAGGCCATTTTTTGCTGTAGATTTTATTTGTTGGTTTATGGACTGTCAGGTTCCCATCAGGACTAGATCATAAAAGCTGCTATCAAGTGTATCATTTGCCTCCAGTTTTAGGTTTTTAAAAAATCATTAAAATATCACTGTATCATTTTCCACTCTCCCTCCCTCCCTCCACCCCCCCACCACCATTAGATTAGACCTCAGAAAGCTTTATAAGGTGAAAGTAACAATACCGGTAATACAAGGTCCAGTTCATGTTTTTTAAAAACCAAGGTCTAAACATCTAAATTTGAAACCAATTACATTAAACCAGTTCCATCTGAGATCCAGATCTTATTTCAACATTTGAGCACTACTTTGTACTAGGTACCGGTTCCTGCACTTGAGAAGTGAATGACAGATAGGAAAACATAATGTCAGTGCACTCTGGTAAGTTCTGTGGTAGAGTTATTTACGGGGTACTATTGGGAGCTCAGAGGATGGGTACTTATCTCAGGCAAAATGCTGATGGGCACTGAAGTGATACAGTCTGGAAAGGCTTCCTAAATGGAGATATCGTGAGTCTTGAAGGATAAGGATAAAGAAGTTAGCCAGGCAGAAAAAAGTTATTCCAGACACAAGAGAGCAGTAGGGGAGCTCAAGTTACTGGATCTTAATAGGCAAAGTGGAATGGGATGGCAGCTGTGGTGTTGGAAGGATAGGAGGGTTGGGTTATCCCGGGCCTTTCCTTGCCCTCCATCATCCTGTAGGTGATGGAGAGCTCTCAGATAGCTCTAATTAGGGAAGCAACCTGGGCGGACTGTGTTTCAGGGAGATCGTTCTGCAAGCTGTTGGGAGGCAAGAAGATGAGTTAAAAGCCCACTCCACAACGCAGGTGGTAGGTCATAAACTAGGGCAATCGAAGGGTGGAGAGAGACAGTTGACAGAACTGGGGAAATACGTATTTTGGTATGAGAATAACTTCAGCATGTTACAGGCTGAGGAGCCACAGGAGAAGGGCAAATGTGGAGGCCTTGCGGAAGGATGGAACAAAGCCCAACTGACATAGGACGGTCTGGGTCCAAGAGCACGCACAGAGGACTCAAGGAAATGTGGGAACTGGTAAAGCGAATTGGTCTATTCACGAAACTATTCACTATAAAGTTGTTATCTTAAAGAAAAGTTTAAAAACTGCTTAAATACTCTCCCAGCATTAAGACCAAAATCTCCAAAGTCAGACAAATGTAGAAAGTACTGTAAACATTTTTAGTCTTTGATGTCCTGTAAGTTGGTTTATGTGGGATGAGATGGTCCGAGGTGAGATATTCTAGTTAGCGTGTCTCACACACTATTTGTGGTGAAGGGCCGAAGTTTTTGGTTAGCCACCCTCTTCCATTAGAGACTGATACTTTGTACAATACAGTAAAAATTGGCAGCAATGTCACCTTACTCCCTTTCTGTACTTAGCTCATTGCAGACTGGCAGCAGTCTGTGAGCTGTGGATTGAGTAGCAGTGTGCCAACAACTAAGTGCGGTTTGGGCCCTAGAAGGGTATTAGTAACTTGTTGTTTATTCCTTAAAACTATTTAGTATTACAGATAAATGTCTACAGTTGCATTGTTTCACCATACTATATACTTTTCCAAAATTAAAAGTTAATACTGTGGTAAGTACTTACATAGATACAGGTGATGCTGGAATACTATCAATTTTCTGAAACACAACGTGCAAATCTTGGTGGGTAATGAGACTGGTTAGACCAAAAGATTCCAAGATGGAAAACTTATGCCCACTGGATCAGCCTCGACATGGGAACAGACCCATTGCAGACCTTGGGGGAGCTGGATAGACTCAGAGCTGGGAGCAGGCAGCCAGGGTGAGAGAAGACTGGAAGGAGGAGCCATCCCAAGCTACTGGACTGCTGCTTCCATCTCCGGGAAGATGGTCAGAGCATGGCAGGGTCTCGGGCTCATCTGGTTTAAATAATACTGAATTTTTAAAATTGAGATGGTTAAACTTTGTAGCTCACCATGGAAAATTGGGAAAATACTGAAAAAATATAATTTTCTGATATCTTTCCTTCTATTTGCTATATATAATTGGTATATGTAAGATTTTATCAGCTTTTAAAACTGTTATGCACATTTTTATCATGAAAGAAAATTGATGGCTACGTAATATGGATGTACTTAACCAGTCCCTTACTGTTGGACATTTAGATTGTTTCTATGTTTCTGATTATTAATAATGCTGTGATGAACATGGTCTGTATCTTTGATTATTTCCTTACGATAAATCCTAGAAGTAGAATTCCTAGGTCAAAGGTTTTGATTATAAAATGACTTGCTTTCCACATAAGTTGTATTGACTCACACTTACAATATCATATGCTGTTGCCTTGCCCTGGCCAGCACTGAGGATTCTTTTTTAATCTGATGTTTTTATTATCGTTTTAATCTACATCTCTGCAACATTGTTTATGACCCACATGAATTTCTACTTCTGTCAATTATTAGTTTATACTTTTTCCCTATTTTTTATATTGTCTTAGAGTCTTTTGATATGGATGAGCTACTTGTAGAATATTAATTTTTGTCATACTTTTATGTATGTGCCTAGATGGCCTTTAATTTTTAGTTTTTCTCATAGAAGTTCTGAGTTATGAAATCATCTATTAATGTTTTCCTTTGTGATTTTAATAGCTTTTTTATTCTTTTCAAGAGCTTCCCTACACAAAGACAAAAGCATCATGCATATTTTCTAACTGGCTTTGATTTTGGTACTGGTGTAAGCCTGATGAGCTGAACTGGAACAGGCTTGAACCGTTTCCTGGTTCCCACCCCAGAGCCCAGCATGGTGTTGAGAAGGCAGATGCCATGTGTGGATGGAAGGTGCAAGCCACATTGAAAGGAAGCTCCAAGCTGCCTACTCTTTCCTCTTCAAAATCTGCCCAGTTTCTAGCAGCTGTCCTTTCTCTCAGCTTCTAGTGTCCTGATGCTTCAAGCTAACAGGGCTGACCTGGGCCATCTGAACCGATTCATTTCCTGGACAGAAGAGGCACCCTCTGGCTGCCTCCCTCTCTTAGCTCCTGGATGTGCTCATGCTCCCATGGGCTCTATCAAAAGCCTGCTTTCCTTTGCTTCCTTCATGATGTGCCTGTTCTCAGGTTGCACCAGCTGTGTTTCCCTGTGCAGGAAGAGATTCCAGCAGGCCACCATGTTAGTTGTATTTTCGGTTTTATTCACTTCTCATTTCTGCAGGGAAGGAATGCCCAGTCCAGCCATGTCAGCTGCAGGCTGCCCTGGGCTGCTGGGAGACACAGCCTCAGGTTGTGCCCCTCTACCTACTGGGATCCCCAGAATACTGGTCCTCCCCACCTCCTTGGCCTCTTCTCTCCGTTCCGAGGGCTACGGCACAGGGTAGGCATGCAGGCATGAATCTTCCTCATCCTTGCCCCCACCACTTCTGTTACGGGCTTAGTGTCCTAATGTGTTCTGATTCTAATTTCATCATACATTTTAGCACTTTCTGCCTGCCCTGCAGTGTGCTAGGGGCAGAGTATAAAATGTCATGTAAGACTGACCCTACCCTCAGAAAGCTCTAACAAGAGAAAAGGGACCATTGAAATGGGTCATTTAGTTTGTATTTTGAGAATCTTCCAGTTATCAGCAAATTCTCTCTGAGCCCATTCCAAACTGAACCAAAGGGATCACCTAGGATTGTGAGCCAAGGAAGGACAGCTCCTTCAGAATCCTTCATGCAGCTCTAAGAAAAGCTGACCCCTTGATCATGTGGCTTCTAATGTCACAATGAGAAAACTATAACCTTTGCCTCTAAGTAGAATCCCCTAACACACAGCTAATAGTTGCTGTCATTTCCTGGCATCTATATTGTACCCTATGCTTGCTATTTGGTAATTTAATTGTGATCGCTTGGTCTTTTCATAACAATTTGACAACTGCTAGGGGAAAAGCAGCATTAAGCTGCCTGTGAAATATGGAAGCAGGTTACTGATCTGTGCCCCAACCCCTCCCTCCAGTCGACCCTCCCTTGACTCTAGCAGGTGACCCCACCTCACCCCCATCCTCTCTTGTGTGCAGCTAGGATTAATCACTAATTCCTTGACTATCTACTCACGGAAATCTGTATCATTGGTCTCTTTTTCCTTTATATGAATTCAAAGCCTCTCTCTAAGTACTGGTGTCTGAGGAGCTGTCCAAGCATGAGGATTATACTCATTCCCAGAGCTGTGTGTGTGTTTTTGTTTGTTTATTTGTTTTTAACCTCTACTGAGGCAGCTGAAACTGTACACTCAAAATTCTTCTCTATTCTGCACCAAGGAACTGTTGGAGGTTGGGGAAATGGTTAACGGGGAAGCCTGGAGACCCTCTAATATTGGGGCATGGACAACAGGGAGGCCAGGAGGTGCACAGCAGCAGCGCCTGTGCACCTTTACTCCCTTTGCTAGCAATCCCCACAACTCTTACTAATGTCCTTGTACAGTCATTGATGTTCAGAAATAAATAACTTCGGAGAAATCAGCATTATCTTTTTCTCATTTATAATCAAACAGCATAGGTTGGAACCTTTCCAATAATGAATCTTAAATTTCCATGGGGAAAAAAAAATCACGAAATACTGAGCCTTAAAATCAGCCAGTCTAGTTCATTCCAAACCTGCTGGCACTAACCTTTAGCTTAAGCACATTTAGAGGAAACTACTTCATGACTTTCTTGGGTGGTGCAAACCACCACTAAAAGTGTATTTCTTGGCCAGGCATGTGACTTGCACCTGTAATCCTAGCACTTTCGGAGGCCAACGCAGAAGGATCACTTGTGGCCAGGAGTTTCAGACCAGGCTGAGCAACAGAGCAAGACCCCTTCTCTATAAAAAAATAGAAAAATTAGCCAGGTGTGGTGGCGCATGCCTGTAGTCCCAGCTACTGGGGAGGCTGAGGCAGGAGGATCGCTTGAACCCAAGAGTTTGAGGTTGCAGTGAGCTATGATTACGCCACTGCATTCTAACCCAGGGCCACAGAGTGAGACTGTCTTAAAAAAACAAAACAAAACAAAAAAAACACCAAAAAAAAAAAAAAACTTCCTTGGAGCTGAGTACTGGGTGAGGCTTTTGTCAGAGAGCTGTTGCACCTCCAAGAATCCTGTGTGGCCAGTGTTACCCTGCAGGTTTCTTTCTCCTGGATCTTGGAAGGCATATCCCACTGCAGGTGTCAAGCCCTGGGACAAAGGCCCGCTAGTCCTAGCTCTCAGAGCCTTGGTTTTCTCCTAGGAATGCTGCTACCAAGATTAAAGGACGTGGAAATAAGGCACCAGCTATGTGCTCAGCAAGGGTGGCGGTATGTCCGCTTGCAGTTTCCTCGTTTCCACCCCTGGGCTCACTGTTCTGCAGCGTTCATAGACTGTTCCAGAAACCTTCCTGTGCCAGTGGCCGGGCCAGATTTCCCACTCGATCATGATTCATGTATTGGCAGCGTCAAAACCAGATACTTTCCTTACAGGTACATTCACTTTAAGAATAAAGACCTATTCTATGCTGACGCGGTTCTAACGGGGTTCACCTCCACTTCTGGGGGTCTCTAATTCCCTGAAATGGTGGCCAAATGCGGGAGGGCCCACGTGCACTTTGCGCGAAGGACTACAGCTTTCATCAGGTAGTCAACAGAGTTCTGACCCAAAAATGTTCAAGAATCACGGCTCCAGCCCTTCCAATCAAACTGCTGTTGGCTAAGACCTCTGTTTTGTCTTGCATTCACGCCCCAGTCCTCGGTGGGCGGCACACCCATTTCCACATCCTCCCGACACTTCCACAGCTCAGGAAAAGTGCTTCCTTGGGGGCGGGGCTGAGATCGACCGCGCCCTCAACTCCGCCCACTTCCCCGCCCCGAGGACGAGACAGACACCCCGGGCATGCTCAGTACTCCCGCTCGGGTGCGTCTTCTGGGCGGAAGCCGCACCAGAGAGCGTGTGCTTTTCCCAGGGTGCTCCGCGCTGCTGTCATGGCCGCCTCCCTGTCCTGGTGTCCGCACATGGAGTTCTAAGGCTGTGGGTGTTATTTATGGTAACTGTCGCCACTAGACTTCGTTGCCTTTGGACTCTCCACTTTTCACTTTCTTCTGTTGACTTCTGTGTGACCCTCGTAGGAGCCTATTTTGGCTGCAGCGCTGTCCGGGGAGATGTGGACCCCGGAGCTTGCACTTCTGAGGGGCTTCCCCACTGAGGCCGAGCGGCAGCAATGGAAGCAGGAGGGGGTCGCTGACTCAGGTGAGAGACGCACCTACCAGGTACTTAAGCCACCGTGGAGCTGTGAGGAAAAGGGGTGGCGGCGGCTGGATTCTCTTCCCTCCTTTTTTTTTTTTCTTTAACAAAACCTAGCTGATTTGTTAAGACTTTGGGTTGTTGAGTCCTTGACATGGTGGGCGTGGTCCTCAGACTCTTTACCCAAAACTTTAGGTGTCTTTACCCAACACTTCTCACCGCCCCGGTTCAGTAATAATAACAGTGGCAAAGTCAGTTACTCTTCTAAACTTTTAACATGTTATTCAGTCATTTAATCCTTATAATTGACAGGTAAAGCAGGTACTACTTTTAATCCCACTTTGCAGATGAAGACATGTAAGTACAGATTGGTTAAGTAATTTATTCAAGTTCACACAGCTGGTAAGCAGAAGAGCTGAAATGAGGCAGCAAAGATGTAATTCTTGTGAGTGGCATGCTTTTACTGGAGAGATAAACAGTTAAAAGTCACATTTACTAATGGGATATAGGCACGTCTGGTTGTGGGATTTAGGCTGGACCTCGAAGAGTAATATAAGTATACAGACAGTATGCAAGTTTTATTTGTGTGTGTGTGTGTGTGTGTGTGTGTGT